GGGCCGACAAAATTCGCGCCGTGACTGTCACGACGCGGCGGCGAGCAAAACTCACAGAAAACTCGAGTCTCACGGTTCCCCCGGCTTTCGTCCGACCCGGCTGGGACAGCCCCCCCGTGGCTGCTTGTCGTCATGATTATTTCCGCGTAGCCGTCGCTAACCGCGGGGGGCGCGGGTAACAGTAACGCTTGGGCGGGGTGGGCACGTCGGGGCGCGGGTGAGCTACAATCGACATAGCCCCTCGGTGCTCCCGTGTCGCAGAACTCAACCGTGAACGCCTTCGCCAGCGTCACCGGCGGGCCACCGCCGCATGAAATTACCGCACCTCCGCCTCTTCTATTGCGTTTGCACTCCTCCTCGGGTGTCGTTGAATGGGGGGCGATCAATGGGGGGGAGAAAGGTCCACTTCTCGAGCAGAGGGCGATTTTTCTGCAGCCCTCGCTGCCACCCCCCCCATTCAATGCCCCCCCACTTTCGCGTCGCCCAGCCTCCTCGCCCAAGCCTGGGCACGGTACCTCCTTGCCCCTCACCGCCTCTCCTGCTAACGCTGTTGCCCTCCCGTTTTGGCAAGCGCGATGCATCGGCAAGGCCCTCAACTACTCACCAGGCACCCTCTCTCCTGGGACCTACAGCCCCGTCCTCCACTGCCCTGCTGGTGTCCGAGCTTATGGCTGGTCTCTTGGCGCCTCGGCCAGCAGTGCCTCTTCATGCTCCCGACCAGGCCGCCTTCCATTGGGACACCTTTTCTTCCACGGCAGAGGAGGGGATGAGGAGGAGGAGGAGGAGGAGGAGGAGGAGGAGGAGGAGTTGGCAAACATTCGAAGGACGACCCGTCGAGCTTAGGATGACCCTCGTGTTGTTCAAACCCACCTCCACGTCCTCTCCGTTCTTGACCTGGTGCCCCGAGAGGGAGTGCCGTGTGATCTCGGTGGCCCTCTCCGTCCAGGGAGACACAAAGATCGGGTTTGGAGGGCTCGGGTTGGTCTGGCGTGGCTGTGAGAGAAATGCGAGACCCAGCCTATAACGTGACGCGAACTCCCACTGCTTGGGGGCCACATGCGAACCCTACCCCTACCCCCCCCGACTTCTGAGGGTGGGGTTCACTTCGCTCGGGAGCTCCCGAACGAAGTCAACCCCACCCTCCCCCTCAGAAATCGTGGGGGGAGGGGTAAGGTTCGCATGTGGCCCCCAAACTGCACACATCGCACGAAAGCTCGACCGCAAAAATCCAGGACGGGCCCGGCAGCTTGAGGGACCCACGAACCAGGCAAGGAAATCAGGTCAACATAATCAGCTGCCAGGCTTCTCTGGTGTCGCCGAGGAGAGCCAGACTCTTGGAGGAACGTCGGAGTCGGGAACTCACTGAACATCTGATTTCTGTGAAGATGTCTGAAGCGAAAACGCCCCGACACACCAAGTTCGATATCCAACTCCCGAGCACACCATCGCAATGGTCTGAAGAAGTTTCATGCTGAAGCTTCACGTTTGAGAGCCAACGCCGCCCCCCACACCATTGTAAATATCTGATGCCCGATGCATGTCATTATTCTGAGGATGTCTAAGGCGGATGCCTCGTTTTTGAATTGTAACGTCGTAAAGCAACTCCTCCAGCACCTCTATTTCGTGAGGATGTCTCAAGCGACCCCCCCCACACCACCACACCATCTGAGGTAACCGACCACAACTGTCGGGGGATGTCTAAGGCGAAAGTTTCACGTTTGAGGACCAGCGCCGAATCACACTCTTCTGATACCCCCCTGCTGTGAGCATATCTCACGCGAGCAGTGCCGCCACCACATGTTGGAGATCCGACGCCCCAACCTTAACATCTCAATTGCCCGGGGAAGTAGCACGCGACTGGCTAAGTGTTGAGGACCAACGTCGCAAAACGACTCATGACACATCCCTGTAATGTGGCGATGTCTCAAGTAACCCACCCCCCAACACCAGGTAAGATATCCGACGGCTGATCTCCAACGTCTCATTCTCTGAGGGTCTTACACAGCACTTTCGCCGCTAAACATTAGCATAAAAATATAACATGTCCTCCAATATTCCCATGTTGCGGAAATGTCGCAAGCGAAACGACCCCGCACCCACCCAGGCCCACCCACCCACCCACCCACCCATCCTCACTTCTTATGACTTAACACCCCCAACCCCCCACCTAGCCGTCCGATACCAACCCCGCCGTCCTAACCGTGAAACAATGCAAACTCAATTTGTTCCCGCCAACATGTCGTCGAGATGCGAAACGCGTAGCAAGAAAATGACGGAATTCACATCGCTGGGATAACCCTGAGCGGGAGGTCGCGTCGTACCTATCAAGAAAAGGCAATACAAACTCAACGTTTTTTTCGACGACATGGACTTTCTCGTCGTCGACGCTGCGATCCGTGTAACAGGAATGGGACGGAATGAATATCGTTTGGGTTACCCTAAGCGGGTGGTCGCGTCCTACCTATCAAGAAAAACACTACAAAGTCAACGTTTTCTACAACATGGATTTTCTTGTCGTCGACGCTGCGAAAAGTGTGGCAGGAATGGGACGCGTCGCGCATCGCGCGCGGACGCCTGGCCAACCCTACGCGGGACCCCCCGTCCTACCTGCCAAAAAACATTGCAACGTCGACGTTGTTCTTGCCAACCTGTTTTTTCTCCTCGTCGGCGATGCGAACCGCGTAGCGGGAATTGGACGCCCCGCGAATTCCCAGAGGCATTCGCCTCTTCCTCCTCAGTTTCTCCCTCCCTCCCTCTCTCCCTCCCCTCCTCCTCCTCCTCCTCCCTCTCCCCCCCCTCCATGCGCGGCAGGAGCGAAACGATTGGCGGTGCAACACGCGTGGCTGTAATGAGACGCGGCGCACTTCGCGCGCGAACCATGTTGTCGCCCGACGATGCAACATGAGAGGCCGGAGCGGGGCGCGGAGTACATCGCGCGCGGTTTTGTTTCTCGTCGACGTTGCTCAATACGCGGCAGGAATAGGACGCAGCTCATGTCGCGCGCTGAACGTCTAGCCTCCCACGATATAAAAAGAGTGACAGGCGTAGGACGCGACGCAGTTGCTTCTTATGTTGCGGGAGGGCGGGTGGGAGTGGACGGAGCCCTCCGGCTCGTTCGAGCTGGCTAACTTGACCCCCCCAATCCCCCCACCCCCCACACACGCACATACGCACACACACACACACACACGCACACACACACACACACATCATGTTGGACTTCGGACGCCCGATCTCCAACAGCTCCAATGTCTGAGGTGTTCAACGAAACCTTGATGTTCTTCAGAACCAATGTCGAAATACATCTCCTCCAACATCCCCATGTTGTGAGGATGTCTGAGACGAAACGCCCCACCCCAGACACCTTGTTGGATAACCGACATCTGACCTCCAGCAGCGAATAAGCTGGATACCCCCCATGGGGGCCCCGCTGCCGCCAGGAACGCATGAAAACACGTCCCAAACGCATGCGCGGCGAGAAGCATGTTGGAGACCCTGTCGCACAATTACTGTTAAGCTAAAAAGAATCCGACGCGAGTAAGTTGCTTACTCTCTGGGGGGCCCGTTGTGGACAGAAACGAATGAAAACACGTGCCAAACACATGCGCTACGAGACGCATGCTGGAACCCTCCTCCCTTCCGCACACGTTACATGCCCAATTCCGCCGCCACCTGCTCGACCTGTCCGGTACAGGGCCAAAAGGCCCTCACACGAAGAGAGTAGCAAGGGCCTAAGCCCTTGCTGGGAAAAAGCCTTTGCAAACCCGAGTGCTGGCGACGCTCGAGTCTTACGTTTCCCCGATCAGAGAGGCTCCCATTGCAAACAACATGGCAAATTCTGCTTTGGGGATGCGGACTGACCGGGGTCCGCCAGGGCCCCTGTCGAGTGGCCTGGATGTCCGCGCAGCAGCTACCAAGCTGGGTTAGCTCGGGCATATCCTTCTACAGGCGGATTTTGGACGAACGATGAAAAATACAAAAAAACATGTTCAAACATGGTCAACCAATAATAGAAAAATCGTGCCCAGACTATTTTTGGACTATTCTTGAATGCTCCTCCTGTAGAGGGATGTGCCCGCCTTACAAGCTGGGGTAAGCGGAGGGGCGGGGTCGCCCGAACTGCGAAAGAAACAGGTGGCACAAAACCTCGCACAGGTGGCGCCAAAACCTGGGGCCAGCCCGACAAGGTCGATGGGATTGGCTGGCCCCCGCTGGGGCTCCTTCCTGTCGCCCGTGCCCCAGCTGGCCTTCGGTCTACAGCTCGGGCCTCGGGCGGCCGTTCGTGACGATGGTTGGCCTCCCTGGAAGGCGCTCGACGAGGGGCACCTGGCGGACACCACCCCAGGTACCGAAAACCTCCGAATACGTTCGAAAACCTCCGGGAGCTCCACTCAACAAACATATGTTGGCCATCGTGGACCCCACGGTGGACTTACAGCGGTGGAATACAATAAATACATAAACGTAAACTTTTGGAGCTCCGCGCGGATTTCTTGGATCTGCGCTGGACCCCCCTCCCTGGCGCGCGGAGCGCCCCAGGGGCGGCGCCGGAGGCGCCGCCAGGGGGGCCCAGCGCGGATCCAAGAAATCCGCGCGGAGCACCAAAGTTTATGTTATGGCGTGGTGTGATATATATATATATATATATATATATATATACGTGGTGCAATATACGTGGTGCAAGCTAGAGGCGAGCATGAGGCGGCCACGGGCGGCAGCGTGGCGAAAAACCTCGCCAGACCCAGCCACGGCACGAAGCGGCCACGAGGTTGCCACGGGCGGTCACGGGCGAGACCTCGCTGGACCCAACCAGCGCACGAAGAGACCACGGGCGGCAGCCGGCAACGTGGAGAGTCCTCACCAGACCCATCCAGTAACCCATGAGTGCAGGCACTGTATGGGGATCAAGACAAAACAACAAAACAGAAAGACGACGGCAACAAGGACACAAGAGTGCAGATCGTGGCCGCTGCCAGTGGCGCGCGCGGGCGCGCACGAGCCTCAACGCTCGTGTCCAGGCTGAGGGCCTGGCCGGACCGCGCTTGTGGCGGGGGGGCACCGGCCAGCCACCTCCTTCAGCGGCTCTCCTCAGCCGTTCTCTTCCTCCCTCCTCGGTCCTCCTCCTCCTCCTCCTCCTCCCCAGCGCCATCGCGGCCCCGTTGGGGTCGGCCTTGCGCGTAATCTCCGAAGGGCACCGTCGCAATCGCATGGCTGCGTCGCTCTGACCATGGCTGATCATGATTCCTAAATCCCGCCTCGCAGTTTCCAACTGTTACAGCAAAACGTACACGCTTCGAACTCGCAATTGCCGAGGGATGCCCGAAACGTGCATGCACTGTCCACGCAAGCAGCACGTGCATGATTCCTGCACTCGCGCGTGCGCGCACGGATCGGGTGGCCCTGAGCTTCGTCCTCCCCATGCCTGCTCCGCCCGTGCTGAGGGTCACGATATCAGTACACCCGACACCGCTACTCCCCAGACCTCCTCCCGGGTGCGTTCTGACGAGGATCTAGGGGAGAGTCCATCAGGACCCCCTAAACCCGGACACGCGAGATCGGGACATCCAACATACCTCGAAACACTTTCTAGCAGGAGCGCAGTATCCCCAAGCAGCATTTTCCACAACGGCTGTGCTGACTGGGGTGCTGTTGTGGTAGAAGCTAGTACTGACCAAGAGAAGGTAAAGCAGCGAGGTCTTCCAAAACATGTAGTGGTTCGGCCCTTCTCCCCTGAGACATCCTCGCAACTCTCGTTTCTGATCCAAAATGGAGCGTTTCGCCTGAGACATCCTCGCACATGGAAGCTCTGAGATGCTGCGCGAGAGGTGGTCCGGTCCGTTTCTCCTGAGACAGCCTTGCAATTCTGAGCTCCCAAATGCCGCGCGAGAGGTGGTCCAGCCCGTTTCGCCTGAGACATCCTCGCAACTGGGGGCTCCGAGATGCCTCGCGAGAGGTGGTCCGGCCAGTGTCGCCTGAAACATCCTCAAAATTCTAAACTCCTGAATGCCCTGCGAGAGGTGGTCTGGCCCGTTTCGCCTCAGACATCCTCGCAACTCTGGGCTCCCAGATGCCGCGCGAGAGGTGGTCTGGCCCGTTTCGCATGAGACTTCCTCGCGACTCTGGGCTCCCAAATGTCGCGCGAGAGGTGGGTCCGGTCCGTTGCGCTTGAGACATCCTCGCGACTCTGGGCTCCCAGATGCCGCGCGAGGTGGTCTGGCACGTTTCGCCTGAGACGTCCTCTCAACTCTCGGCTCCCAGATGCCGCCCGAGAGGTGGTCCGGCCAATTTTCCTTGAGACATCCTCAAAATTCTGAGCTCCCAGATGCCGCGCGAGAAGTGATCGGCCCGTTTCGCCTGAGACATCCTCGCAACACTCGGCTCTGCGATGCCGCTTGCGAGAGGTGGTCTGTCCCGTTTCGCCTGAGACATCCCCAAACTCTGCGATGCCGCTCGCGAAGTGGTCTGGTCCGTTGCGCCTGAGACATCCTCGCCACTCTGAGCTCTGCGATGCCGCGCGCGAGGTGGTCTGGCCCGTTGCGCCAGAGAGGGGTCCGTGCCAGCCTTCGGCGGTTGGGATTCGTCGGAGCGGGCCTCTCTCACGCTCTCTATCTCTCGGCTTGATTTGTCCGGGGGGGGAGGAGGAGGAGGAGGAGGAGGAGGAGGAGGAGGAGGAGGAGGAGGAGGAGGAGGAGGAGGAGGAGGAGGAGGAGGAGGAGGAGGAGGCGGGGGAGGGGGAAGACGAGGAGGAGAAGGATGAGGAGGACGAGGAGGAGGAGGAGGAGGACGACCAGTGTAAACCCAAGACGCATCAACGATGTTGAAATACACTCTCCCTCCAAGAAATGCCTTCGCAATCTCCAACGCGCTGGCACCTGTCCTCTCGTGGGGCCGTCCTCAGGGTTTTTTTGAGCCCTCGCTTCGAGGCACCTTGGCCTGTTCCGCCGGGCCTCCTTGGAAACCACCATGGCAAAAAACGCTTTTCGGGGATATTGCCGTTGTTGGTGTTGGTTTTGCTGTTGTTTTTGTTGTTGTTTGTTTTTGTTGTCGTCGTCGTCCTCGCCCGCGACCCCTGCGACCCCCCCGCGACCCGACCCACGACCCACCCGCGAACCACCCGCGACCTACCCCGCGACCCACCCACCCCGCGCCCGCACTCTCACTCTTATCCGCAACTGGGGGGTGCTATATGAGGCGTGCAGAAAGGGCCTTGCCTTCGGGGGTCGAAGGGGTTGCCATCCCTTCCTCGGCGGCAGGCGGTGGAACCCCCTCTGGCATTCCCAAGGATCTCTCAGGAATCCTATGGGAGACCCAGGAGTCCCTAGGGAATCCTGAGGAATCCCTTGGCCATCCTGAAGAATCGTATCCTAACGGATCCCTCGGGAATTCCTTGAAAATCTTTGGGGAACCCTAAGGAATCCTCAGCAACCGTAAGGAATCTGAAGGAAACCGAAATCCACGGGACCCCTTAGGGAATACAAAGGAATCCATATAGAAATCCTTAGAGATCCTACCTCCCTAGGGGAAACGGCATCGTAAAGAATCCGAAAAACTCCTATAACATCCGAAAGAACCCTACGGAAACCCGCGAGGATCCGGAGGATTCTGTCATAAGTCATCTATTCGTGGAATCTTCGGGAATACACCATCATTAGAATCGTCGTTCCCGTCGTTATCTTAATCAGCATCTACATCATCTTCCTCGTCCTCATGATCGTCACCATCGCCATCACAATCGCTGTGGTCGTCACCACCATCGTCATCATCATCATCATCATCATCATCAGCAGCATCATCATCAACCTCATCTTCACCATCATCATCATCATCATCACCATCATCAGCGTCATCATCAGCACCATCACCAACATCACCATCAACATCATAAGACTATTCAGCACCACCGCCACCATCAGCATCCCTGTCAGTATTATCATCATCATCATCATCATCATCATCATCGCCACCAATATCGTAAACACAATCCTCTCCGTCCTCATCGTCATGGTAGCCGCAGTAATAATCGTCGCCGCTATGGTCGCCGAATACTCATGTGTAGAGTAAGTCTGGCTGATTACTGGAAAAGCTTCCGCGCTCTTGTCAAGACGCCAACTACATGTTCTCTGAAAGCGAAGCTCGCGCTCGGGCGCGGGCTTCACGTCAAAAAAGGGTCTCTGAAGCCCTGGCCAAATTGCAACGACAACGGCTTCCGCTCGATCGTTCCTCACAAATCTATACATCGAAATTATCTTGAGGTATACGTCATCATGGGGTCGAGGGTTGGGCGTGTGGGGGGATGAAGCAGAAGGAGGAGGAGGAGGATAAGGACCAGTGTAAACCCAAGAGCTATCAACGATGTTGGAACACACTCTCCCTCCTAACTCCCTCTTCATAGGCCCGTACAACGGTTCATTTCAATTGAGGGATCTGCCTCGTTGGAAGACAGCCGTTTGAAGACCCCGAACCATGCAAAAACATTGTTCTCGGGATTCCAACGCCACGAATCAACCTGACGGTTGCGTCTTGACGATCCTGGATGGTGCCAGAACGCCATTCTTGAGATTTCAACGCCGATGAAACTCTTGCAATTTTTCAGAACGAATGTGCGCGGCGCTAGGGCGAGAACCACATTTTGAAAAGGAACCGCCCTCAATCCGTGAAACTCTTGCAAATGTTTAGAACGGATGTGCGCGACGCTAAAGCGAGAGCCACATTTTGAAAACGGGTGCTCCTCAATCCGTGAAGCTCCTGTATTTTTTAAACGAATGTGCGCGGCGCTAAGGCGAGAGCCACATTTTGAAAACCACCCGCCCTCCATCTGTGATCTCTTGCCAATGTTTGAGCTTCAGTCATAAATGGTGAGGAAGTCTCAAGCGAAACGCCCGGCCCGCCCTAAAAACTGGCCTCGGGGTGCGACAGGGAGAAGATATGTATAAGGAAAAGGAATGGAAGATAACGATGGGCATGATGAGGTCGAGGAAACACCTTTATCTGATGAGGAAGGTGCTCCAAAGTTGGCAGAAAACGGAACAAGTCACCATTCAACTCAACAATGGATCGATTCGGGGACCCCGCTTGGAGCCCTCTTGGGGCTCTCCGAGACGGCATCTGATGGCCCCGAGCGCCTCAAGAGAGCCCCAAGAGAGCTCCTAGAAGGGCACTCGCGTGAATTCGGTTTGACTCCTCCTGGGCCCTCCTTGAAGCCTTACTGGGACCTGCGAGACGGCAGTGGAGGTGGAGGTGGAGGGAGGAGGGAGGAGGAGGAGGAGGAGGAGGAGGAGGAGGAGGAGGAGGAGGAGGAGGAGGAGGAGGAGGAGGAGGAGGAGGAGGAGGAGGAGAGGGAGAGAGGGATGAGGAGGAGGGGGAGGACAAGGAGGGAGAAGGGAGGAGGGGGAGTTGGATGAGGAGGGGGAGGAGCAGGAGGAAGACAGCCCAGGGTCAGCTGGCCCATCTCAGTACTGCGATGTGCAAGTTTGCCATGGGCGGTCTTCTTCTTCGTCGTCGTCCTCCTCCTCCGCCTCCTCCTCGTCCCCCTCCTCGTCCTCCTCCTCCTCCTCCTCATTACTCCTCCTCCTCCCCAGCCTCCTCCTCCTCCTCCTCCTGCTCCTGCTCCTCCTCCTTTCCCACCTCCTCCTCCTCCTCCTCCTCCTCCTCCTCCTCCTCCTCCTCCTCCCAAAAGAGCTCCAAGAGGCACCCACAAAAGGAGTCCAGGCAGTCCCCTAAATGGTGTACGTGACTCCAGGCTGTGGTTATCTTCGCCCCTTGGGCCCTCCTGGGCCCTCTTGAAACCACGTGGGGGCCTTCCGAGAGTCATGGGGGGTCCCTGAGGGCCCCCAGAGGACCCCAAGGGGGCCAAAGAAGGGGTCCGAGAGGGAGGGCCTCAGCAGTGTATATAATTCGAGGCTTTGTGCTTACTCACCCCTGGAGCCCTCTTGGGGTCCTCCAAGGCCCTCCACATACAGACACACCCACCCACCCACCCACCCACCCACGCACACACGCACGCACGCACACACATACACACAACACA